CAAAATGGAAGGGAATCATATGCTTTGACGCAAGATTGAACGGCCTTACAAGGGGGTTCCAGTTGCAAACACAATGCTCGAACACAGATGGCGTGCACTCAGATGGCGTGCACGGTTCAAAAAAGCGGGCGGCTTGGGGGGGGGGTCGCAATCATTTGCAAACAGAATGCTCGCAACATGGGATGGGAAGGGACTCCTTTGGTGCTTGAAACGAAGCTGCTTGCACGGCTTTAACAAGCGGGGGGGCTAGGCGGGACGCAGCCCCCTCGCCCCCCCCTCATTTGCAAACACAATGCTCGCACGAGAGGTTTGGAAGGGAAACACATGCTTTGACGCCAGCTGGCACGCCCTAACGTTGAAAGCACGGGGTTGGGGCTTTGAAGCGGCTTGGATGGATTCACATGCGTTGAAACAAGCTTTGCGCGGCTTAAGCAATGGACCGGAGGACGACCCGGGCCAGAGGACTGGAGGACCAGAGGACGAGAGGACAATAAGACCACAGAACAAGAGGACCACCGGACCACGGGACCAGAGGAGCAGGGGCCCCCGAGCCACACCTTTTACAGAAAAGAAGCCCGGGCCACACCTTTAACAAAAGACTCTGGACCTGCAAGGAGTGCGCGATGTAACGCAAGTGGAATACGAGACTTCTTCTATCACCAGCATCGCAGGCGAGCATTTCGAAGGCCAAAATCATCTCGAATTGACATTTTCTAAATGACATGCCTCTCACGCTCTGAATGTCCGCGTTTTTAGTGTGAACCATATGCTCTCGATCTCCGCCGCTCTCTTCGCCTTCTCATTTCGGCATAGCCCGGTTCGGGCACCATCCTCCGGCAGACTGCGGTACTCGCCTTGAGAGGCCCCCTCGCAGCAGGATGGGGGGCCGCTTGAAAGGGAGCAGTAGCGTCATGAAAGACAACGATTCATTTGTAAGCTTAAGTTTTTTGATATGTTCTTCGAAGAAAACTGGCACACGCGCACCTTTACCACACCGCGCTGCCTGCATGCTAAGCGTGGACTAACATGCAATTCGCGCAACCGTGCGTAACATAAACTGGAAAACTATCGGCAAGAAGCTGCTCGTCCAGGACCCTACTAATAATTGAATACCATTCCATAAAGTCTCTCATGACGCTTAGAAGAAGAATTCAAACAAAGCACGGTTTCCTGGCAATGTGCATAAGACAACAGTTTAACACGAACCAGCAGCTTCCGCAAACACTCGCTCTTCTTTTCTGACTTGAGAGATCTACTAACTCGAAGACATGTCTTGCGTATTCCTTAGACAAAAACTTAGGGAAGATATTGCAACGGTCGAAAAAGCGTTCAAGACTTCGCATGCGTGAACTGTCGGCGGCCAGTTCGCATGACTCGCTTTGCTTCTTTCTTTTCCGCGCGACGAAGTACAGTAGCTAGCCCTGGTCGCGGAGCAATCGCGAGAGTTTCCCCAAAGCGGAGACCGAAATGAGGAGAACCTGTCAGTCTCAGCACATAAGCCTGAGATGTATTGAAAAAGAAAGCAAAAAATCTAAGAATGCACAGCTTCATCTAAGAATGCACAGTTTTTAGAGGGCCGGCTCGTTTCAAATTGAGCCTCTAGGGTTTTAGGTTTAGGGCTCAGGGGGCTGCTTATGGCCTAACCCTTGTGTTGCTCGCAGATGCCCTGGACCGACTAATACACTCCAAGTCCTCCCTTTCCCCCCTTGCAACAAAAGGGCTTAGGGTTTAGGGTTTAGGGTTTGGGGTTTGGGGTTTGGGGTTTGGGGTTTTGGGGTTTGGGGGTTTGGGGTTTGGGGTTTGGGGTTTGGGGTTTGGGGTTTGGGGTTTGGGGTTTGGGGGAACACCGCTCTGAGGCCCGTGACCTTTCGGATTTGGTTGTCTACCTGAGCGCCATCCAGCATGAGACTTAGCACAGCCTTTCCTCTCCCACTAGTGGGTCATATACCAAACCACTTCACAGGACGATCGGATTCAGGTCACTGGGAACTAAGCTTGCTGAAAGCTGACAGGCTTGGGGACAGGCAGGAGGGGGGGGGGGGGGGGCTAACTTTCTTCCTGAACCTACGAGTAGGGGCGCTCAACCCCGAACCCAGAAACCCTGAACACCCAACCTGCAACGCTTTGAACAGAATGACAAACTTTAAACCCTAAACCCTAAACCCTAAACCTTAATCCCTAAACCCCAAACCCTAAACCCTAATCGCCGCTCAGGCTGGGGCATTCCTGGCTTGCCACTCGGCCTCGCAGACTCTTGCAGTTACTCCGCAAGGTCGGGTGATCAAAGAAACCCTAAACCCTAAACCCTGAACCCTAAACCCTAAACCCTAAACCCTAAACCCTCAACCCTCAACCCCAAACCCCCAAACCCTAAACCCCAGTGAAAGTCAGAGCTCGCCCGGTTCTACCCTGGATTCCGTCATCACATCGCTATGCCACCCAAACCTGGGCTGCCCAGTAACCAAGGCTTAAAAAGGGTGCCCTTTTTTGCTTAAAGGGTTTATAAGGGAACCTGAACCTACCAAAAAGGGAATAAGGGCACTACTGGGCATCCTAGAAACCAGCTGCCATGATGCAAGCTCCCAAAATGCCGTGCAAGGAGAAATACCCAGGCCCCACTCCCCCGCCCCCTCTTCTCGGCCTTTGGCGGCATGTCATCAAAGATTGCGTCCTCGACTTGCCACAGGCCGCTTCAGGGGGCACTGTAGGTTTTATGCTTGCAGTTAAACCCTAAACCCTAAACCCTAAACCTTAAACCCTAAACTGTGGCCCCTGTTTGGGTACCCCCCAAAAGGACCAAATGCTCAAGAACGTATCCGTGGGTCCATGGCAGGAAGCGAAGAACTACGGGGGGCGAGGCTTGCAGACGGGGCATCCCACGCCACCCGGGTCAAACAAAGTATGTCCCTAGACTTCGCAAGACATCCACACCCGAAACCCCAGCCCTAAACCCTAAACCCTAAACCCTTAACCCTAAACCCTTAACCCTAAACCCTTGACCCTAAACCCTAAACCCTAAACCCAAACTTTCCCTAAACCCCGAAGCCCTAAACTTCCCCAAGCACCGAAACACTCGGCATTGTGCCTTCTTCGACCGCCGCAGGGCTGCGTCAGTCTCCTGGCACCAAAACCGTGACTGGGTGAGGGTTTAGGGTTTAGGGTTTAGGGTTTAGGGTTTAGGGTTTAGGGTTTAGGGTTTAGGGTTTAGGGTTTAGGGTTTAGGGTTTAGGGTTTAGGGTTTAGGGTTTAGGGTTTAGAGGGTATAGGGTTTAGGGTTTAGGGTGTAGGCCTTAGGGCTTAGGGCTTAGGGCTTAGAGGTCTGGGGGTGTTTAGGGTTTTTAGGGCTCAAGGTTTAGGGTTTAGGAGGTTTGGGGGTTGTTAGGGCATTTAGGGCTCAGGGTTTCGTGTTTAGGGTTTGGGAGGTTCGGGGTGATTAGGGTCTTTAGGGCTCAGGTTTTGGGGGGCTTGGGGCTTGTTGGGGTCTTTAGGGCTCAGGGTTTAGGAGGTTTCGGGGCTTTTAGGGTCTTTAGGGCTCAGGGTTTAAGGCTTAGGGTTTATGAAGCTTGTTTTCTGTTCTTTAAGCGTTTTTAGGCTCAGGGTTTAGGGCTTAGGATGTTTGGGCTTTGTTTTACGGTTTTCAGGGCTCCGGGTTTAGAGCTTAGGGTTTGAGAGGTTTGCAGCGTTCGGGCTTGGGATTTAGGGTTTGGGAGGTTCGGGGGGCCAGAAGGATGCCAAGAATGTACTACAAATTCACGACGGCCCTACTCCAAACAGCTCGGAGTACTGAAAGTAAGAACAGTAGCTTAACAGGACAACAGGACAGCTGGATATAGTCACATCCTACTACCGTTTGGTATTCATTGGGTGTTATCTGATGCCTTGAGGACCCTAAACCTTAAACCCCAAACTCCCAAACCCTCTAAACCCTAAACCCTAAACCCTAAACCCCAAACCCTAAACCCTAAACCCGGAAGATCCGAAGCATTTTTTGCTCTTCGCGGGGATGGCATCGGTCTCTGCCACCTACGTGCGACATTAACGAAGATGAGGGCAGCGTGCTCTACTGGGTTTGGGGGGTTTGGGGGGTTTAGGGTTTAGGGTTTAGGGTTTAGGGTTTAGGGTTTAGGGTTTAGGGTTTAGGGTTTAGGGTTTAGGGTTTAGGGTTTAGGGCCTAGGGTCTAGGGTTTAGGGTTTAGGGTTTAGGGTTTAGGGTCTAGGGTCTAGGGTCTAGGGTCCAGGTTCTAGGGTTTAGGGTTCAAGGTGTAGTACTGTCGCTCGACTGCGACCGTGATACAAAGGATCTGGGGATACCGACCAAGCGTCTAGGCTGTGCCTAAATGCCCAATCCTAGCTGGACCAAAGACCTAACCCCAAAAAGCCTTAAAGCCCTTCTACCTTAACCCTTAAAAACCTAAAACCCTAAACCCTAATCCCTAAACCCCTTGGGGTTGTCTCGCTTTTGGGAACTTCGGAACTGCTCAGAGCCGTGGGGCTGCGGGCCACGCCTCAGCGCCCCAAGACAGCTCACGTGCCTCGTGCCTAGGGGCCCTGAGGGCTTTAGGGGGTAGGGTTTAGGGTTTAGGGTTTAGGGTTGAGGGGTTAGGCCCTAAGCTTAGGGCTTCGGGCTTAGGGCTTAGGGCTTGGGGCTTAGGGCTTAGGGCTTAGGGCTTAGGCCTTAGAGCTTAGGGCTTAGGGCTTAGGTTTAGGGCTTAGGGCTGAGGTGCAGAAGTCACAAACACCACTACACTTCCACTCGGATCCTGAGTCCCATGCCATGAGATTCCTGTGCGGTGCGGCGGCGCGCTTGGCCTTCGGGCGGAGTGCCCTGAATCCCGACCCTCCATCCTACTTTCGTCCGCTAAACCCTAAACCCTAAACCCCAAACCCCAAACCCTAAACCCTAAGAACCTTCAAAGCGGAACTTGCAGACTGGACCCCAATGCATCAAACACCCCGCCTCTCGTCTTGCTGCCTGCTCCTCGCAAGAAGGCGGGGAGGGTTTGTACTTGGGGGCACCCAATGATTAAATGGTAAAGCTGGGGTCTGTGGGATTGTGCTTCGGGATATTTCCCCATGCACGCAAAACCCCAAACCCCAAACCACAAACCACAAACCCCAAACCCTAAACCCTAGACCCGATCGGAGCCCCAACATTTCCCAAGTCCTATGCCCACCTTGCACTCCCAAACCTCACTAGCCCAGAAAACCACCGAAGCGACTTGGGTTTAGGGTAGGGTTTAGGGCTAGGGTTTAGGGTTTAGGGTTTGAGGAAGCCATGATTAGAATTGGGTTTTGGTTTTCAGGGCCCAAGATGGTTCGGACTGGAACTGGTCAGCCGCATCTTTACCCCCCCTCCCCCCAAGCCCAAGCTGCCTGAAACGTAGGAGGGCCTTCGCGAAACCTGCGCCAACGTCGCAAAGTCAGACAGATATGGATGGATGTCGGCAATGAGGTGGAAGTGATGCAGTGAGTGCTTCCTACGTGCAATTGAGTTGACCCAACAAGGCCGAACATGACGATTTACCTCTATGGCAACCCGCCAGAGGAAAAAGAATCTGCAGCATGCGTGGGAATGGAAATGGATGTTCAAGGCCTGAAACGGGGATGCCGATCTTGGTATGAGGTAGTTGACCAAACACCTGTTCCCAAAGACGCCCCTTACTTTCCCTTACTTACAAGCCATAGGGCCATAGAGGAACCCTGAATACTTTCGAGAAGGACCTTCAGATCAACCCTACAAGGAACCTGATCCTAAACCCTAAACCCTAAACCCTAAACCCTAAACCCCAAACCCTGTATTGCTAGGCTTCTCTGTGATCATGTCGGAGTGCCGCGCCTTGCTTCGACCTGGGGAGTAGGGTTTAGGGTTTAGGGTTTAGGGTTTAGGGTTTAGGGTTTAGGGTTTAGGGTTTAGGGTTTAGGGTTTAGGGTTTAGGGTTTAGGGTTTAGGGTTTAGGGTTTAGGGTTTAGGGTTTAGGGTTTAGGGTTGGTTTAGGGTTTAGGGTTTAGGGTTGGTTTAGGGTTTAGGGCTTAGGGCTTAGGGCTTAGGGTTTAGGGTTTAGGGTTTAGGGTTTAGGGTTTAGGGTTTAGGGTTTAGGGTTTAGGGCTAGAGGTTCGAGGTTTGGGGTTTGGGGTGTGGGCGGGATCAACAGCCCTTAAGGAGTTTAGGGTTTGGCGTTTTGGGGGGAGACTACCACTCACCATCTTGGCCTGAGAGAGCCACAACTCTGTTCCTCTTGACTCTAGGCGCCCGAAAGGGGCTGGGTAGCAACAAGGTAGCTGCAGCATCCAGAACATCTGCTTCAGACCATCATCGTGCAAAGGTATTTTTTCGTCCCGGCCCATCTAGACACAAAAGCCCTGAGCCGTCAACATCCTCAATCCTCAAACACTATGGCTGTGCTCGTCCCGCCCTGCCAAACGGGCATCCCAACTCAACTCCCTTGCAGTGCCGGCAGTGCCTGTAGAACACCTGTAATCCTAAACGCTCAGCACCCTAAACCCTAAACCCAAACCCTAAACCCTAAACCCTAAACCCTAAACCCTAAACCCTAAACACTGCGATACTCTGCCGCAGTACGGACGCCAGAATTTAGAGAGCTCTTCAGGGTTTAATTTAGGGTTTAGGGTTTAGGGTTTAGGGGTTAGGAGTTCGGGGTTCGGGGTTAGGGCTTAGGGCTTTAGGGTTTAGGGTTTAGGGTTTCGAGGTCTGTGAACAGTCCCTAGCCGTGAAACAGTCCTTGAGCTGCGAAGTGCAGCTACGGCGAGTCATTAGCTCTCGTTGCTGGTGATAAGAATTGTTTCAGTACAAGGTGGTATCCACCATTCATAAGCCGTAAGCAACTGTACCCCAAATCATAGTATGCAGCCATAGAAAGAAAGGGAAAAAGCAACAGTCATGCGAAAAGCAACAGCCATGCGGAAGCCAATTCTTTAAAAAACCGTAACCCTAAGCTCTAAACCCTGAACTGAACCCTACATTCAAAAACCTACACGCTCACACTGAAACACTTTGCCTGGACTGAACCTTGTATACCCTAAACCTTAAACCCTAACCCCTAACCCTAAACGGGAAAAAAGGGGGACCCTTCAATTCGTTGGAAGCTATCACCCTACACCGCAAGCCCAAATCTTGGCTTCCCTGGCCAGTTCGGAGGCACTTACGTCGTCCAATGGCCTCGCGAGATCAAAAGGATGCTGCGGAGCGTTTTTTGGGGTTTGGGGTTAAGGGCCTTCTAGGGCTAAACCCTAAACCCTAAACCCTAAACCCTAAACCCTCGACCCTCAACCCTAAACCCTAAACCCATAGGTGAGGCTTGTTCGACTTGGGAGGCTGCGTTAGAGCAAGAAAGCCTTGTGAAAGCAGCTGGGTGTGGCCCGACCTTTCCGGGGCGCCTAGGGGGTTTCGGGGCAAATTTGAACCCTAAACCCTAAACCCTAAACCCTAAACCCTAAACCCTAAACCCTTAACCCTTAACCCTTAACCCTAACCCCTGAACCCAGCTCACGCCTCTAAGCAAGCCGCTGATCCTGTTGGGTGAGGAGCACTTCCCTACTTCAGAGGGCCGCCAGGCAACGAGCACTTCCCTACTATCACAGGCATCATTGCTGTTCATCTTACTGTTGGCTCGTAGGGAACGGGGGGGAATAAGGTGCCCTATATAATCCCTTGGAGAGGGTATATGTAGGGCCCTGGTTCCCTCATTCCCTGCTCACCAACAGTAATAAGTCACGCAGGGAGCAAGGCAACCCTTGAAAAAGACGCGGACACGGAGACCCTTGACACAGGATTCAGCGCGACAATGCCTTGACACGTACTCGAGGTATGGCTGAACCTGGCCAGGCAGATTCCAAAAGTTGCCACGCATGAAGCCCACGCTCCCCAAAGGAGGCTTGAAGGAGCCCTTACTCAGCCTTAATAGGGGGAATATGGGCCCCTTCCCCCCCCCCCCCCCCCCCCGGTTCATTATGATGTCCGGGGCTCTTGGGCTCAGGGAGAGGGTCGGGCTTTCGGATTTAGGGCTGGGGGTTTTGGGGTTTGGGCATCCGAATATCCCAAAGGACACCCAGTCCTTTCACTCAACCGTATCGATTAGGAACCCTAAAGACCCTCTCAAAGAGCAATGACAACGACCTTACTTCATGGGGGCTGACAGTTCCGGGGGTTTTCGCAACTCCCTGCCTACCCTAGCCACACCAAACCTGCCCGAACAATCTCCCCAACACGTACTTCCCCAGAATACCATCGCCCTTCTGAGAAGGAGGTGCCGGTCAGAATTGTTTCGCTCGAAGCCCATTTTCTTGGAAACCTTCATCAATCAATGCACCCTTCTCTTTGACAGCATTTGTGGTGGCGGTAAATTGCCTCAAACGGAAGTGCTCTCACCCGACCCTGGACCACCCGAAACCCTGAACCCTAAACCCTAAACCCTAAACCCTAAACCCTAAACCCCAAGCCCGAAACCCTCACCTCGCTGTAGATGTCGTCAAAGTTCCGGCCTTTGGCCCGCTCCGCATCCATGTAGTCCTGGCTTGGGGGACAGAGAAATTTAGAACAGGAGAATCTGGGGAAGACCGAGGTGACAGCTTCGGGACCCCGGGCCGCTAAACTAGTCTTGAACTCTTGTTGAGCCCTTGTTGGATAGGCTCGCGCCACCCTAAACCCTAAACCCTAAACCCTAAACCCTAAAGCCTAAAGCGCGCAGTATCATAGGCTCGCGCCCAAGAGAGACCGTGATTTAGGGAACCTCCCAAGCTCTTCCACCGCCAGCCATGCAATCAAGAATCCCAAGATAAAGCCTTGCAAGCGGTCCAAATGCCCAAAAGCCCCAGAGGTTAGGGTTTAGGGTTTAGGGTTTAGGGTTTAAGGTTTGGCGTTTAGGGTTTCGGGTTTAGGGTTTAGGGTTTACTGTAGGGTTGAGGGTCCAAGAACACCAACAAGCCATCAAACACAGGCTTCGTGCCTTGACAACGTAGGAGGCTTCTACAGCCTCACCTGGCGCAGATTGCACGGGCCATCACCGGGCATTTGTGGTTTAGGGTTTAGGGTTTCGGGTTTAGGGTCCCGTTCGGGGTACTCCCGGCGTTTTGTGAGGCCGCTGTCATTTCCCCAAGGGTTTAGTACCATGCGCGCGCCGTTGACAGGAGAGGCCACTACAGTGGCGACGGTTGAACCTGTCCGGAATCAAAGCAAACCAAAAACCCTAAAAACCCCTATAAACCCTATAAACCCGATAAACCCGAAAAAGCCCCGATAAACCCTGTAAAGCTTATAAACCCTATAAACCTTATAAACCCTATAAACCCTATAAACCCTATAAACCCTGTAAACCCTATAAACCCTGTAAACCCTATAAACCCTATAAACCCTACAAACCCTAATCAACCCTGTGAACCCTATAAACCCTATGCCCGAAACGGACGACTGGGTAAGTATGTTGAGAGATGCATCAGCATTGTGCCGCCAAGCCGCAGATCGACTGCGTGACGACTTCGCAGATCTCCTGCCATTAGCGTGCAAACCCTCGCTGACAGTACTAGAAAAACTACATATCACAAACAATGGGTTTAGGGTTTAGGGTTGAGGGTTTAGGGTTGAGGGTTGAGGGTTGAGGGTTGAGGGTTGAGGTTTGAGGGTTTAGGGTTTAGGGTTTAGGGTTTAGGGTTTAGGGTTTAGGGTTTAGGGCTTCGGGCTTGCTATGTCTTGCTATCTGGCATCGACAGATTCCTGACAGATGCTAGGACAGGTTCACCACTGAGTCCAATGAAGTCCATACCCTAAACCCAAACCCTAAACCCTAAACCCTGAACCCTAAACCCTAAACCCTAAACCCTAAACCCTAAACCCTAAACCCATGAACCGAGACGCACGCTCTTAGCTTGAAAGAGCATTCCTTGAACTGCCCCAAACTCAAACCCTTAAAGACCAAACCCTAAACCTAACAAACCCCAAGGCCCTAAACCCTAAACCCAAGATGCCAAACCCTGAACCCGAAACCCTTGCTGTGGTTGCTTTCCACTTCCCTGCGTCCAAGTCCCCAGCGGCTTCCGACCGCCCTTTGGTCCAGGGAGGACGCACGTCTTCGGGCTGGGCCTCGGGCATAGCTGCAAGGGTTGAGGTTTTGGGGTTCAGGGTTTAGGGTTTAGGGTTTAGGGTTTTAGGGTTTTAGGGTTTTAGGGTTTAGGGATGCTCCCCCTGATACGAACAGGCCCTTAATGGGGATGAAATAGGGGGCACTCTAGAATCCGCATGAAGGACTGCTAGGAAAAAGGCATCCCCAAGCTGCGTGGATTCCGTTTCTATACTCCCCTTAGCACCGTCATAAAAATAGTATGGTTAATATCCTCTTGGGTTATATGTATATATATATATATACAAAAATCCTAAACCCGAAACCCTAAACCCTAAACCCTAAATTCTAAACCCCTTAAAAAGTTTTACAGGGGGATATAGTATGAATGAGGATGGTCATGGTACTCGTTTATGGTCTATTGGGTACCACTGCTCTTGAAGTCGGACCCCTGAACCCTTAACCCTAAACCCTAAACCCTAAAGCCTTGTTGAGATGCTCTTCATGGCTCGATACAGTTTGCTTGGGCCCGTCGGTCACGCACTCCGGGCCTCGCTGCAGATCCTGCTGTGCAGCTACCTCCTCCGCTCTCCCTCCTCCACCGGGTTTAGGGTTTAGGGTTTAGGGTTTAGGGTTTCGGGTTTCGGGTTTCGGGTTTAGGCTTTAGGGTTTAGGGCTCTTCCTCCTTCCTGCTCCCGGTCTGCCCCAGGCCCTTACTACAGAAAAAAAAAACCTTTTGAATACCCTATGAACCCTATAATCCCTTAAGGAACCCATAAACCCCGATAAAAACCCTATAAGACCCTATAAAAAACCCCTATAAAACCCCATAAAACCCCCATCAACCCCAGGAAAAAAGCCTGAAAACCCTTAATTCAACATTCTCTCACAAGATCTCTGGAGCTCGTCTAGGAGGAATCGCTGCAGAAGCTTTCGCAAGCCCGTCCTTTTGTGGGCATCCTGTTTTCAAGAGGCCCCCTGAAGGGTTTGGCGGCATGCGATTTAGGCTTTAGGATTAGGGTTTAGGATTTAGGGTTTAGGGTTTATTCAAGGTTTAGGAAGATCTGACAGAAGAAGTCTGAGTCCCGCCACCATCAGGCCGTTGGTGATCACCTGACGACGAGCCATACAAGGCCTAAGAAGCACTTTTCTTAACAATTTAAGGTTTAGGGTTTAGGGTTTTGGGGTTTAGGGTTTGGGGTTTAGGGTTTAGGGTTTAGGGTTTGGGGTTTAGGGTTTAGGGTTCCCTACAGGCCCCAGAAGAGGCACTTCGGCATAGCCTTCCAAGAGCAACCCCCAAGTTTCCTCCCGCACCCCCCCAGAATTACGTGCTTCTAACCCTAAACCCTAACCCTAAACCCTAAACCCTAAACCCGAAACCAAAGGCGACTAGTCAACCCATCCAAGAACTCCAAGATGCAGAGGATAGCGTGTCCCTGCTAGCGCGGGCACTGTCCATCTGACCCTCCTTCTAGGCCTCAACCCTAAACCCTAAACCCTAAACCCTAAACCCTGAACCTGAAACCTGAAACCCCAAACCCTAAACCTTCCAGCGTGTTGAGCGACACCTAATCCTCGTGCCAACCCCGGCCTTTTTATCCACGAGCTGGCTTCTAAGATTATGGGCCCTTGTCTAGGTTCCCTTCACTATAAGGGGTACACACTCTATTCCAGTAGAGATCCTGCTATGTTTACCCCGAAATATAAAAAAGATAAGTGCGCGGGACCTAGGGGGACCCAGAGACCTGGACTTGCCATGTTTTGGACTTTTCGTGGCTCTCGGGAGCAGGCGGGGCCAAGGCAAAAGACTCCAGGGCACGCAGAAACACCAAGAGGGTTTGGGGTTTAGGGTTTAGGGTTTAGGGTTTCGGGAATTGGAAGGCGCATGGCGCCAATAGTGCAAGCGGGCTTGGGGGAAGAAGCCAGACGTGTAGCCCACAATCCACCAAAGAACGACTCTACCCCCGCCCCCCCCCACCCCCCCAAATAGAACCAGATTCCGAAACCCGAAACCCGAAACCAGAAACCAGAAAACCCGAAAACCCGAAAACCCTAAAACCCGAAAAACCCGAAAAACCTAAAACCCGAAAAACCCGAAAAACCTAAAACCCGAAAAACCCGAAAAAGCCTAAAACCCTGCAGATTCCCTCCCTCCCCCCCCCTCCCCGCACCTTTGCGGTGCCGGCTGGGGTGCCACCGCCCTGCGCAGCCGCATCCATGAACCTGGTCGGGTTCGGAGTGCGCGGTTCGGCAAACTAGCAGAACCCTAAACCCTAAACCCTGAACCCTAAACCCTAAACCCTGAACCCTAAACCCTAAACCCTAAACCCTAAACCCTAAACCCTAAACCCTAAACCCTAAACCCTACCCCTAAACCCTAAACCTTGGGAAGGTAGAGCTTGATTCACAGGCGAGAGTTGTGTCCCTCCGCCGCCCCACCCACCCCAAAAAACCCCCACAAAAGCCCCTGCTTTCCGAAGCTGGGCAGGGAGATCTGATGCTCAATGCAAGGGATCCCTACTTATTTGACCTGCCCACTTAATCCCGCGCGGCCACTTAAAACCCTGGGACCCTCAACACCAAAATTCCGGTGTAACTCCTTCTGCCGGGGGGCCATGTTGCATTGCTGCTCATGGTTGGGAGCTGCCCCCCGCCCAGCGCAATGCTTTGATCCACCCTGGTGCGGTGTTGGCGCGAACCGTGCGAAGCCGCTGGACGGACGAGTTGCAGTGTATTCCGTGCTGCAATCACCAAAAGCCCTGAAACCCCAACCCTAAACCCTAAACCCTAAGCCCTAAACCCTAGGGTTCAGGGCCCCAGCGCGGAACCGGCTGAAAAGGTTTCTGGAGTCTGAAGGGCCCCCAAGCCACCCAAACGTGAACCTTTGCAGTGCTGCGGAAGGGCAAGAAGCAGGCTCCTTCACATTGGCCTCCCACTCCAGGATATCTTTAAAGGCATCCTCCTCCTCCTGCGCGGTCCTCAGCAATGCCAGGAACAGTCATTCAACCAGTAGGGGGAATGCTTGGTTTGCCCCTAAACCCTAAACCCTAAACCCCAAGCCCTAATCCCTAAACCCTAAACGAGGGCAGAGGAGGAGGAGGAGGAGGAGGAGGAGGAGGGGCAGGAAGGATGCTTCCACCCCGGAACCTTCACCGCAACGCATCCGTCATGAACAAGCGCGCAGCCTTCTCTAAGCCCTCACACCCCTATAACGGCCTAAAGCCCTCAACCCTGAACCCTACACCCTAAACCCCTAAACCCCAAGAACCTGAACCCTAAACCTAAACCCTGCTCAACCTCGATGGACCTGAACCCTAAACCTAAACCCTGCTCAACCTCGATGGGCTGTGCAGGAGCTTTTTCTGCGGCACCCTCCGATTTCACAGCGCTGCTCTCTCGTGGAGGCCCATGGCTGCTCTCAGAGCGTTCGGTGCCTGTTGCAGGGTTTAGGGTTTAGGGTTTAGGGTTTAGGGTTTAGGGTTTAGGGTTTAGGGTTTAGGGTTTAGGGTTTAGGGTTTAGGGTTTAGGGTTTAGGGTTTAGGGTGTAGCTTTGCAACAATAGCAGGCAGTGTCGCGGGTGGTGTCTTGTGTCGAGAAGTCAGACATAAAGGGCCGGGCAGCCTTTGCAAAGCCTAATCTTCGATTCTCCACACCCCCTTGCTGCAACACCACAAGAATAGCAGCTGCAAAACCCCAAACTCCTAAGCCACTGTGTAGTAAGACCCCCCAACCCTAAACCCTACACTCTAAACCCTGAACCCTGAACCCTGAACCCTGAACCCTAAACCCTAAACCCTAAACCCTGAACCCTGAACCCTAAACCCTAAACCCAGTCCGCCAGCAGATTGTTCTGGCCTGTGCCTGCTTCGCTGTGGATGGCGAGGGGCTTGTCGCTGGCTGGCTCCTTTGGACTTGGTTTAGGGTTTAGGGTTTAGGGTTTAGGGTTTAGGGTTTAGGGTTTAGGGTTTAGGGTTTAGGGTTTAGGGTTTAGGGTTGAGGGTTGAGGGTTGAGGGTTGAGGGTTGAGGGTTGAGGGTTGAGGGTTGAGGGTTGAGGGTTGAGGTTTGAGGGTTGAGGGTTGAGGGTTGAGGGTTGAGGGTTGAGGGTTGAGGGTTGAGGGTTGAGGGTTTTGAGGGTTTTTATAGGGTTTAGGGTTTGGGGTTTGGGGTTTGGGGTTTAGGGTTTAGGGTTTAGGGCTACCTTGACGTACCTTTAGTTGAGAAGATGGGGGAAAATTCTGCAGACATATGGGTTCATATGAGTTCTTTTTCATTGTTGCGGTTCTATACCAGCGTCTATTGCGTCTCCCAACATATCCGAACGCAACACGCAATCGGAAACGCGCCTCCAGCTGCGCATACGGCGGCTCAATCGTCTCTGCTGAGTCTCGTGGGCCTGCACATGCTCCAGCAGCAAACGGAACAGGTGCCTGCGTCCAAAAGTCTAAGCCAGCTAAGGTCAGCGTTCTTCTGAGGGCACGCTCGCGGGATGTGACATGATTCATGCCAAGGTTTGGGGATGCTTTGGTGGCAAGTGTCCCATTGCAGATGGAGCTCACGAGCACTTGTGCTTGCATGAACCCAGCTTGCACCCTCATGGCCAAACACCCGAAACAGATCAAAACAGTAGGGATGAGAACGCAACCACCATGAAAGTCAAAACCATGCTACCAAGGCGCTTGGCTCCACGCCCTCTAAAACGTCCAGGGAAGCCTGCCGATGTTTTTTCCAAAAGGGAAATGTCTCGGGATGCAACCCGGGTCTTCGAAACGATGCACCCAAAAATCCCTTCACGTCACAACAGCGCCTCGACTTTGCCGGATTCTGCCGTGGGCTATGCAGGTGTTTTTGCTTCGACGTCTTCAACCATCGGCTATGTAAAACGTTCACAAACGAAAATCCAATGAGAAATCGAAGATGTACTATTTGGTCTTATCTACCCAGAGGCTTCGTAACCATGGGAAGCATCCATTGCAAACGCCGACAGCCCAGTGGACCCGCCTCCGGCTGTGCATCCAGCGGTTCACTCGGCACTGCTGCATATGTCGGGCCTGCACATGCATTGCAACGGTCGCAACGGTTGCCACAACGCGTTTTGCTGAGGGCACGCTCGCGGGATGTGAAATGATTCATGCCAACGTTTGAGGATGCTTTGGTGGCAAGGGTCCCATGCGTGAAGAGTCTGCCGATTCGGAATGTAAGCCGATCAGCTATCTGAAGGCTTGGGTGTGGGAGCAAGGTCCACATTCTACATACGTGCCAAGATCCGCGTCAGGATATGCAAGGACACGGGAGCACACCACAGCTAGTGCAGCAAGATTGTCAGTGGATCGGATGCCGCCAAGAGATCAAACGATAGATTAGCCTCAGCAGTTTCTCTTCTGAGCCCACAACCTCAACCTCACACCCAAACACCCGAAACAGATCAAAACGGTAGGGATGAGAAAGCAAAAACTAAGCCGCAGATATGAGGCGCGCTCTGCCCACACAAGAACCACACTGGCAGTCAAACCGTGCTGCCAAAGCGCTTGGCTCCAAGCCCTCTGAGACGTCCGGCGAAGCCTGCCGATGTCTTTGAGAACGGGAATTGTTTGGGGATGCAACTCTGGTCTTCAAAACCATGCGCCCAAGAGACCCCCCCCCCCCCGCCCACCCCCACATCACAACAGCAAACCCCGCATGTGGACCGTTCCCGCCTCCGGCTGCACATGCGACGGCTCACTCGCCACTGCTGAATCTCGTGGGCCTGCACATGCCCCCGCAGCAGTCGGAACAGGTGCGTGCGGAACTCACACACCAAACAAGCCGATACTTTCACTTCATGTGGCATCCATATCAGCGTTTGAGTTTGAGGCTTCTGCTCTCAAGCGATGCTTTACGCCCGAGACAGATCAAAACAGGAGGGCAAAGCTAAGCCCCAGATTTGGAGGACGCTCTGCCCACACAAGAACCACCCTGGAAGTCAAGACCATGCTGCCAAGGCGCTTGGCTCCACGCCCTCTGAGGCGTTCAGGGAAGCCTGCCGATGTTTTTTCCAAAAGGGAATTGTCTCGGGATGCAACTCGGGGTCTTCAAAACGATGCACCCCAAGAACCCCTTCACGTCACAACAGCGCCTCGACTTTGCCGGCTTCTGCCGTGGGCTATGCAGGTGCTTTTGCTTCGACGTCTTCAGCCACTGTCTATGTAAAACGTTCACAAACGAAAATCCAATGAGAAATCGAGGATGTACTATTTGGTCTTATCTACCCAGAGGCTTCGTAACCATGGGAAGCATCCATTGCAAACGCCGACAGCCCAGTGGACCCGCCTCCGGCTGTGCATCCAGCGGTTCACTCGGCACTGCTGCATATCTCGGGCCTGCACATGCATTGCAAGAGTCGCAACGGTTGCCACCGGGATGTAAAATGATTCATGCCAACGTTTGAGGATCCTTTGGTGGTAAGGGTCCCATTGCAGATGAAGCTCGCGAGCACTTCTGCTTGCATGAAGAGTCTGCCGATTCGGAATGTAAGCCGATCAACTCTCTGAAGGCTTGGGTCTGGGAGCAAGGTCCACATTCTACATACGTGACAAGATCTGCGCCAAGATATGCAAGGACACGGGAGCACACCACAGCTAGTGCAGCAAGATTGTCAGTGCCAAGAGATCAAACGATAGATTGGCCTCAGCCGTTTCTCTTCTGAGCCCACAACCTCAACCTCACACCCAAACACCCGAAACAGATCAAAACGGGAGGGATGAGAAAGCAAAAACTAAGCCGCAGATTTGAGGCGCGCTCTGCCCACACAAGAACCACCCTGGAAGTCAAACCGTGCTGCCAAAGCGCTTGGCTCCAAGCCCTCTGAGACGTCCGGCGAAGCCTGCCGATGTCTTTGAGAACGGGAATTGTTTGGGGATGCAACTCTGGTCTTCAAAACCATGCGCCCAAGAGACCCCCCCCCCCCGCCGTGGACCGTTCCCGCCTCCGGCTGCACATGCGACGGCTCACTCGCCACTGCTGAATCTCGTGGGCCTGCGCACGCCCCCGCAGCAGTCGGAAGAGGTGAGGGCGGGACTCACACACCAAACAAGCCGGCACTTTCAGTGGACGTGACATCCATATCAACGTTTGAGTTTGAGGCTTCTGCTCTCAAGCGATGCTTTACGCCCGAAACGGATGAGCACGCAAAACTAAGCCGCAGATTTGAAGGACGCTCTGCCCACACAAGAACCACCCTGGAAGTCAAGACCTTGCTGCCAAAGGCGCTTGGCTCCAAGCCCTCGGAGGCGTTCAGGGGAGCCTGCCGGCGTCTCTTGGGAATGGTCTGGGGATGCAACCCGGGTCTTCGAAACGATGCACCCCAAGAACCCCCTCACCTTACGGCTTTGCCTGATAGCACACCACCCCACGATAGCTGTTGGGCCACCGAACAGCGCACCTCGACGGTGGCTTCCACGTGAGCGGAAGCCCCTCAAACAACAAACTCAGAATCAGCTGCCGTCACCCGTAAGAGTGCACAGCCTCTGGACAGGGGCACCTGGGCATCTACCACACCCGCTCTCACCGAGTGACTCTGCACTGGTATCCAATGCCCTTCGCGTCCCGGGTGAAGCGCAGAGAATGCGAGGGATGAAGATGTGGGCAAGCCCCGCAGCCTCACTGTAGCGAGATTCGTGCCGTTGCCTGCAAGCACGAGTGGGTATAGAAACCCACCATTGCCTTTGAAGGCATTGGCCTTCACATGTGGTGGTGATACCCTGATTGGGCGCGCATCAAGAACCCATGAGGTGTTGCGAATGCTCTCAAACATCTTACCGTATTGCAGGTACTGAGCCTCAACATCTGCTCCAGGATTGATGGCATGGTCGTTCATGGGAAAGGGCGCCATAGGGAACACCGCCATCCTCAGATGCGTCTGAAAATACGCATCCGGATCTGCGATGACGTCCGCCGCCTTGTAGGTCCACAAAATCGAGGTGGTATGAAGACCCAGGATGCCAACAGCATTGAGATCTGAGCCTTCCGAGAAACTTCCATCAAAGTGCCGCATGAAGGGGAGCCAAGCATAACCGCAGAGGTTGTTCAACATGACCTTCGGGCTGCCAGGTGCACTGTCAAGCATCTTCCGTACAGCTGCCAGTATCTGCAGGTACGAGCGCTTGAAAGACCAGCCCGGCTTGGTTCCAACAAGGGTGTGGTTGTCATCTGGCCCCTCAAAACTGACGACCTGATTCCAGTCAGACCTGTCAACCACCAAGCCTTGGAAGTGGGTTAACCTCCCCAACTTCCGTTTCACCTGTGACAGCAATGATCTGTCATAGCCGAACCCAGCTCGTGGATCAACCACCACCGATTTCTGCCACGAGTACTGCACCTTTTCATGGACTGGCGCCCATGACTGAGAATCGCAATTCACGCGACTTGAACAAGCATAGTTGGTCAACAGAGCAGGCCTGAAATTGTCCATAAGGTACTGCGTTGCGTTCTGCCAATGGCGCTCGTCCAATGCAGGTGGAATGTCACGCCAGGGGCCCGGGGCAACATCTCTGCCAAATTCGAAAACATTGAAATAGCTCAAAGTACTGAATCCCTGCAGCTGGACTCGCGCATAATAGCTGTCGATGCTGTCAAGCGAAACGTTTTGGTGCTTCTGAGTGCCTTCAGGATCGTTCTGCCAAGTGGCGCTCGACGAGGACATGGGTGGCAGAAACATCCCCATGTAAGGGAAAAACCTCCCACTGAGGTCCCAGTTGACATGGTACGCCATCTGCTTCCACTTGGGGCTCGTCAGGTCACCAAGGAATGAAGAATAAGAGCCCAAGCCGTCGAACTGCCTTGCCTTCGCAAACGTTGGCATCCAAAATCTTGGATACTGTTGCACAGACCACGCAAGGCCAGGTCGAAAGCAGGCGTCGCGGTGGGGAACAAGATCAAACGCACGACGGTGGACGATTCCAGGAGCTATGCGAAGCATGTGGTGTGAGATTGCCAGTGAGGCTGGCCCGTTACAATCTTCGGGCTTCGTGCAATTTGCACCTCCGCTGCCGCTGATGTTGAGCCACCCCTCCGGCGTCGGTTCATCATTCGGATCGCCTACAAGCGAGATGGCAACGCCAGAACGGGCCTCCAGTACGGAAACGTGCTCGGCAACCAGAAAGTCTGGGTTGCCAAGGCTGCTTGCCTGCCCGAGGGCATACTTGCCGCTCCACCAGGAGAAGCCACCATCGGAAGGCAGCAGTGCATCAATGTTGCCTCTCCTAGTTCATGGTCGGGATAATCTAAACACATTTAAACTCATTCCTTATTGGGTTTAAGTACCCTTAAAGATGTAAAATGGTACCCATCTATGACAAAGTCTCCGGTTCCAGGGAGCCCACAGCTTGAGCCTGCCTGCCTGGTGAAAAGTCAAGTTGAGTCGCACTGGCGACGTCCATGGTGCTCGGACATCAGAACCACTGGGAAAAAAACCCTCCACGGCGAGCTCCAGGCGCAGGGAGCTGGGTCTGGGAATCAAGGTAAGGTTCACCCAGGCATGCTGTGCACGGCATGATGCAAGGAGACACACCTTCGACGATAGGCGCAGACTGCCCAGTGCAACATCAGATTGGGCAAATGTTTCTAAAACTTTTGTTCCAGCAATGCCAGCACCTCCTTGCAGCGATGGGAGGAGAGTGCCGTAAGAAGTGATACTCGCGAGACTGTTCGTCTGGGGGTCCACCGTTACCTCCATTGTGCCGTCACCAGACCTCACAGTGGGGCGCCGTGCATCAGCCGAACTTCTGTGAGGAAGGCACCATACGGAAACAAATGTCCAAGCCAGCAGTATAGAAGTCGCTGTACGAGTTGCGATCATTTGAGCTTCCCAAGTGCCGAGACTGGGATGGTCGTGAGCTGGCAAGGGGCAGGCCCTGTAATCATTGCTACTCTGGAGCAAACGGCTGTTGCGGCATGCCAAGGTCCATGAGACAGTGGAACCGATTTGCGAGTGACCGAAGCAAGGGGCAGGAAGGAGAGATGCCCTCATCACATAAAATCAGCCCCCCCCCCCCCTGGGCCTTGTGAGCGCAAGAAAGAGGACCGTCAGATGCAAAAACCGACTGCTAGAGAAGACAGCTGGCTGGAAAAGTGCACAAGACCACCAGGGCACCACCCCCCCCCCCCCCCCCCCCCCAATTCAACTAAGAAGTGGAACGGAGGTCTGCAATCATGTCTATGTAGACCTGCGCAAACGAAAATCAGTACACTGGAAGAATTGGGACACAAGACTTGGTCTTATCTACACAGAGGCTTCTCGAGCATGAGTGCAGGGCGACGTCCAGTGCACATGTCCACTGCGCAGTGGACCTGCCTCCGGCGGCGCATCCGGCGGCTCACTCGGCACTGCTGAATACCGCGGGCCTGCACACGCATTGCAACAGCCGGAACAGGTGCCGTGGCACTGACACAGAAAGCCAGCGAACGTCAAGGGCATGCTCAGTGGAGGTGAACATGAACAGAACTCATTACGTGAAAAAACAGATTCGGAATGCACGCCCAATCAACTCTCTGCAGGCTTCCGTTTAGCAAGGGCCACACTTTATCAGACTCTATCACCTTCTCAACATGAGGAGGCCCCGCAAACATGTGCAAGGATACCGCAGCTTGCCACGAGGCTGTCTAATCACCCTGGAAGTCAAACTGCGCCGCCAAGGCACTTGGCTCCAAGCCCTCTGAGGCGTTCGGGGGAGCCTGCCGATGTTTTTGGGAAAGGGAATCGTTTCGGGATGCACCTCGAGTCAACAAAAAGATGCGCCCAAGAGACTCCCCGGCCAACCCCACATCACAACAGCACCTCGACTTTGCCTTTGCCTGAATTGGGTTGCATGCTACGAGCTGTTCCCGGACCGACATCCGTTTGCAAAACGTCAACAGCTCCTGGCCACGTGCTCGGCAAGTGCAGTGGACCTGCCTCCGGCTGCGCATCCGGCGGCGCGCTCGGCACTGCTGAATCTCGTGCGCCTGCGCATGCTTCGAGGTGGAAAGCGGGTCTTTGAGTTGGCAGACGTGACTCCGTAAAGCTAGCGCCGGTCAGGGTTCCAGCGATGGACTCCCTACTGGATGTCCCCATGATATCCCATTCCGATGGTCTTGGCGAGCAGTTCAGCCAGACGACTATGCCAGCACGTGCCCTAAACCCTAAAGCCAAGACCCTTCCCAACCTCAAGGAGTCTTGGCGGCGAGCCCTAAACCCTGAAGCCCTAAGCCCTCAACCCCCAAACCCTAAACCCTAAAATCCTAAACCCTAAGATCCTAAACCCTAAAACCCTAAACCCTCAACCCTAAAACCCCCGCTTGATGCTTAGCATCTAGGGCTCCAAGGCGCCCTGCGAGACATCGGGCGTGTCCGTGGGGTCCTCCCAGGGACAGCTAGGGCACTTAAGATCTCTTGGGCTTGGTGTTGCTCAAGTGCTGCTGCTGCTTATGTGAATATATACATATACTTATATATGTATATATCTATATATATTTTTGTTTTGCTGTATTTTCTTGTACTATGATACAATACAGTGCAGCATGGCAGTCAAAAAATAACAATATGGTACAATAGCAGCAGGCCAAACTACACTCATATTGTACAAGTGCAACTCACATAATGCAATCTCTCGCCTCCCGCCGCTGCGACACTTTCTGATGCCTTTTCCAGCGTCGGCCGAAGCCAAGGCAGAGCTGTGGGGCAGAGTCAGAAAAGCCGCCGTTAGGGTTTAGGGTTTAGGGTTTAGGGTTTAGGGTTTAGGGTTTAGGGTTTAGGGTTTAGGGTTTAGGGTTTAGGGTTTAGGGTTTAGGGTTTAGGGTTTAGGGTTTAGGGTTTAGGGTTTAGGGTTTAGGGTTTAGGGTTTAGACCCTTCGGGTACTTGAGGTAGTACCCTTGGGTGTTGGGGGTCCCTGTTTCAGGATCCTTGAGGGAGTATAAGGGCCATATTCGGAGTAGATTAAGGGGAACCTTTAGGGGCACAACCTTAGGGGTACGAGTCTTCATCCCTTGACGAAACTAAACCCTAAACCCTAAACCCTAAACCCTAAACCCTAAACCCTAAACCCTAAACCCTAAACCCTAAACCCTATGCGGAGCTGCAATTGGTATTGTAGAAAGGAGTTAGTGTTGGAAGTTGGAAGGGTTAATGAACCCGGTAATCGTATTTGGCTCAAGATGGGCTTGAACAGAAAGCCACAAGTTCAAAAAGTAGTGCCTGGGTTCTTAGGGTTTGGTAAGGGTGTGGATTCCTTCCCCCTTTCCTTCCCCCCTGGGTTGCTCTTATCCGTGTTCTTGGTTGTTTCTTGGTTCGATCTGGGAAATATAAGTTCAGGGCGATTAGGGGAGTTGATTTCCTTCCTTGGTTGTCCCCCCGTAGGTTATGAGCCCAAATTAGGTTCCCTGCGGTTAAGTGTTCTTTCAAGGTTTTGGGATCAAGAAGCAATGCCTTCTCCGAAGCGATGGCTCCAACTTGCCTCGGATGGTGGACAAGATGGTGGAGCTGGAAATGGTGCAGCTGAGTCTCTGGGTGAAAGATCGGTGTTGGAAGAGGTGATTCCCGACGCTGAAGTACATCTGGAAGAGGCCTTGGTTGCAGAAAGCCCCAATGCGGGTATGAATCCCAATAGGGATATGGTTAGCAATGCTGAAGCTGAAGGACGTGCTGTTTCTGTACCGCCAAAGCCTGGTGAAAAAAGGAACTGGGATGCGACTGGTGGCATAGATCGTGAAATGGAGGTGACTGTTTTACGAGTGTTACACAAACACGGGTACCAGCCGTCGTCTTCGACTTCGGGTCGAATGGTAGACCAAGAGTCTCAGACCGATCTGATTGGAGAAGTGCTACAAGCGACCAGGAGGCCGTTGAACAAGATCAAAAAGGGTCCATCTTCGAGTTCCCAAGGTGGTGGAAGCGGTCACAAACAGAAGGGTGCGGACGGCTTTGAAGCTGCACCTGCTGCTGAATACGCCATGGGGGAGGAGGAGATCCTACAGATGGAGGCTGAACGGTTGCGACAGCTGTCAGAAGAAGAGGACGAGATGCGACAGGTTTCTGAAAGGGACGGTTTTCGGAAAGACGAGCATCTGATCCAAGCGTGTGATGGCACAATGTGGGAATTGCACCTCCATGAAGATGGGAGACAATATTATTACTGCCTGGATACGCACGAAACCAAGTGGACATTGCCGGTGGTAGGTGAAAAGGTGAAGAGTGACGAGGTGGTTGGGTCTCCTTTGGGCAATGAGCTGGAAATGGAGGCGGCACTGGATTCTTCATCCTCTACTCCGAAGACTGAGTCTACGAGGGCATTCCAGGGTAGTGTAAATAGTTTAGGTGAAAAAGATTTTTCCTCTACTATCAGGGATAGCGGTCCTAGGGCTGATGGTGACGCCCCGACCCCGGGTTCTCCTGATGAGGAAGGGATTCCTGGGAACCAAGCCAACATCGCTGGAGCTCAACACCTGGATCGGGAAGAAACAGAAGCGCTTTCTGAGGGTGGGGCAGCGATGGAATTGGTGGATCCAGAAGAGAAAATGCCCAATGAGGTGATCGGAACTGTGTCGGCTGCAGAAGAGCGAGTGGTGGATGTGGTACCTGTTGTTCAGGAAGGTGGTCCTGGAGATTCGGAGGATGGAGAGAAAAAGTTGTGTGTTACGACTGAGGAGGTCTCTTCGTTTGGTGCCAAGAATTCTGCCATTCAAGGGGAAAAAGAAGCTTCTGGAATAGCTGGAGACACGGATGATCTGAAAAATGAGGCCTGGAGCGCCAATGATGCGCGGGTTGATGCGCCAGATATTACCTGGAGTGCGAAGGAAGCACGGGTTGAGGTGCATGTGGTGGTACGTTCCACGGGCGACTGCAACAATGGGGCGCAGGTCTCCGCAGCAGCTGATGATGGAGGTTCACAGGTGGACGCACTGGTGCAACCTGAAGTTAGCAGCGAGGAACGAAATGACAAGGGCTACACCGGAGCCAATGAGGCAGCTGTGGTCAATGATGGTGGAAATTCTCCTTTGGAGGCCATGGAACCAAAGGAGCCTGCGGTGGAAGAAAGCGTGCCTGCCGCGGATGATCGACTCAATTGCCCTGCAGTGGAAGAAGATCATGAAGGGAGAAGCGTTGCCGTCTGGAAGTTCACCGGAAGTCGACACCGAGCGAACTACAGCAGATGAGGCAAAGCCGTTGGCGGAGAAAAAGGGAGGTCCTGAAATCCAGGAGCACAAAAAAGATGAGCTTGTGGGACTCGTGGAGCAGGACGAGCAGTGTGACCCAAAGGTGAAGACAAAGGATGCGCCAGGAGCCGATGATACAGAGATGGTTTCTGAAGAGCGTGTAAAGAAAGTGCCCCGAGCGGGAGCCTTGGAGTCACCTGGGCCACATTGCTATCAAGAGGGAGATGAGATCATGGGTCTGGTGCGCTGCATCAATGGGTATGGAGCCTTTTTGGACCATGGGGATATGAATGTATTGATTCCTGCAGAAGGGAACAATGCATATCAGTTCAAGTTTGGTGATACTGTCAATGGAACAGTGAAACGAGTGGAAGATGATGGTACCATAATCTTGGACACCTTTCTGGTTTTGGAAGAGGACGTGGAGGACTCTTCTTCGACGCTGCGGAAGTGGAAACCCAGCGGCTGGAGTACGTGGTGGACGGATTCATGGTATGCTGGTCAATGGTACCAAGATTCCAACGGTCAATGGGACTGGAAACAGGAGGAAGAGCAATCCGATGAAGAGCTTGTGGTACAGGAGTTGTCTTCTGAAGAACGAAAAGAAAGGCAACTTTATGGAGAAAAGATCTACAAAGCTCTTCTGGAGAATGGAAATGAAGAGGAAGCCTATGTTGGCAAAATTACTGGGATGCTGTTAGGTCGGCCGATGGAAGATTTACAGGAGTGTGTTGCGGATCAGGCATTCCTCAATGCGGAAGCTCGGCGCGCGTATGGCATCTTGCAAGATGATGGTTGGAAGCCTGATGGTACAGAAAGCACAGGCTTGGGGAAGTTAACCACTTTTTCCCGAAAACAGTACCACAACGCGCTTTTCGAACTGGCATGTAGAAAAAGGAGATTTTCTCGACCAGTTGTGGGTGAAGCGGTGGCAACGGTGCTGAATCAAGGGGAAGATGAGTTTTGGAACGCGCTTTGGTTGGACACCAAGCTATTTTTGCAGGAGCTTGATGGTGCAGTGCAATCCATGAGCAAAAGGGAGAACAAGCCAATGGAAGCCTACATGGATCCTGACCAGTACAAAAAGGCTTACATGACACCAAAGACGGTGTTGTCACCTGGTTACAGCAAGCTGTGCAGGTTCTTCAATAAGGGAAGGTGTCGCAATGGCGATGGGTGTCCCTATGAGCATCGTCGGTACGGTGAAGGTTGGCCAGAAGGGGGGTCAACTGATCCAAAGAATAGCCAAGAAGCTGATGATGAGGACGGGAACATCGGTGACCCTCCCACAGAGGAAGGTACAGTGGATGAGGCACAGCAGGAGCGGGAGGATTTAGCCTTCCGGGCCAAGTACAATTTTGGCAAAGGTGCATCAAAGGGTGAGCCTACGTCAGGTGAGCCAAAAGGTCGGCTGTGTCTGTATTACAATCAAGGTGGTTGTAAATATGGGACTGCATGCAGGTACCTTCACAACGATGATGTAGCATTGGAAGGGACTTGGGAGCCCGGCAAAGCTTGGGACAATGCTTCCAGGAAGTCACTAAGGGACGCAGGGTTCCACCATTGCTGTTTCGATTATTACCTCAGAGGACGTTGCCGGAAAGGGTTAAATTTCTGCAAGTACTCCCATGACGAGATGTCAGAGGAGCGGTTGTCGCTCCTGAAACACTTGGTACAGGTGGCCAATCAGGTCCGGTTTGAAAAAGAGAGAGGATGGGAGCTTACGGATAGAAGCACTTTTCAGCCACCTGCGAGTGGGGGAGCTGAATCTTCCTCATCCTCGGCACCAAAAGCGCTGCAAATGACCAATGTGTCACAAAA